AATAGCTCTAAGAGAAAACCACATGGATGGCAGTACAATGGAGACGGCTATTTTATTAAGATGTCGAGAACAAGAGTACAGCTGTAATTCACTGTGGAGTTTCCATACATTTTGTTGTGAAAGTGATGACATGTTGATGATTTTGCCATAAAACCGCCAAGTACAGCAAACTATTCAATAAAGACATTTTTATGGAGTGGCACAGACACTCAGACGCTTTTCAGATTAGTTCAAGCTCAGCTCTCCTGACAACCAGTTCTAACATATAGCTTTTATTTTATTAAACAAACAAACAAACAAATCCCACAAAACAACAATAACTCCTCTGAAGACATCCCCTATAAATTATTCATACATTTGTGGACTTGGTTTTAAAACTGCCAAATAAATTTTCAAAAGGAATAGTTTGGTCCCAATGTGTAATTATTGATAAAAATAGTCTGCATTGAAATGCTTGTATTCATTGCTATTATTTATATATTTAATGTAATAGAAATTAATTAACCTCTTGAGTGATATTTTGAGAGTTCACTACATTTCACACAATTGCTGAAGATGTATGTTACTTTGGCTTCTTAAAACCTTGAAAGGGAGATTCTTTGCTCAGCAAGGGATTATTTCTTCATAGAATTCTATAAATATTCATTTTCATACCTCCTCTATCACTTACACAGCCAGAAACCACATTACAAAATTGGGATGTAAATTACCAGCAAAGTAAAACCGCAGAAAGGTTATTCACCGTTACCGTTTGCATGTGTGTGAACACAGCAGTAGGAAGACCTGCTATTTAAAGTTTCTTACAGATCTTGATAGATCCTGGAAATAACATAGCCTTTGTAACTACTTCGGTATTTCTGATTCTAAGACTGTACAGTTGTTTTTATTATCTTTCAGTATATTTCTGTATTGACTTGTTACTGGCTTTATGTATTCTATACATAGGAACCGATGGAAAAGAAAAGGAATTTTCAAAGTTTAATTACTTTATTATATTCAAAGTTGCTTATAAACTCATTCAATTTAAAGAAACAACATTTTCACGAACAGTAAAACAAAGTGTTTTGGAGCTGTGATGCATTATGCAGGGAAAAACACTACTGCACAGCATATGGTTTGGTTAGAATAGAATGCTTTATCGAGGGCATTAAAAGAGCAGAGAAGTATCTTGCTTTTTCCCACAACTTTTCCTCAAGACTAAATATAATTATTATTCTTATGTATTCTTTAATGTATAACTTGTAAACAAACTATGATTTACGTAGAATAAACAGAGATTTGAGTATAAACTTGTGTAAACATAACACAAGCTTTACTTTATCAAGCCAAGTTCTTTTTATGTAGTATAGCTCCTGCAATTTCATACAGATAATGAAGTAAGGGTGGGGAAAAAAGGTTCAAAGGAAATAATTCAATTGTATGAGCTTATCTTTAATATCTGCTTTTATTTCCCAAAGAAAGACTAAACCTACACAATACTGCGATAATACTGTTGAAAAATAATCTCATGATCATTGATTTTTGCAGTCCTTCATAGACATTCTTTAATAAATGTCTTTTGATTTGCTTGATTTTGTATAAAATATTTATCTTGTTTGTTTTCATAAATACTTTCAAAGGCAATAATGGCTTCTAAACATAATTCGAACATAGAATTTAATGAGCATAACATACATATTTCTGCAAGCAGAATGGCTTAAGAATTACCACTATCAGCTAGCACAGAAGCCAGAACCTTCAGGGTCTTAATTCCATTTGATGGTACACTGACCCAACCTGTGACCAAGAATGCAGCTGTCTTGTAGAGCAGCTACAAGCCTCATTTAGTATTTATAATATATCTGTTCAGTGATACTGGCCAGATGATTGTGTCGAGTTTTTTTACTAGCACCTTGATAGCAAAAGGCAATGAACAACATATTCATACAAATTACCCCATTTTTTTACTTCTCAAAGTGCAAGATCCCACGCTTCAGCCCGGGAAGAGGTAGTGCACTAGGTATAGTCAAGCCTATCAGCTACTACGTGAGAGACCAGCGCAGCACAGCCCTGCACTCCCTTTCCTTCACGATGGGATCCAATGCATTTAGCACCTGACAGTGTTGACATTACAGAAGGCTGCACAGGAGAGGTACGCAGCTGCACAAACGGCGCAGTGCTGATGCTCAAGTCATGAAACTGGATAGATTTGAATGAGTACTCACAACTGCTAAGACATAACCATGGTAACCTATTTGTGTTCATGAAGAGGGGGAAAAAACACAGGAAATGGGAAAGTCTGTGGGTGTGGTAGTCGGGTAGTGCAGCAGGGTCCAAGTATAGCGGAGAGGACGCTCTCCAGGGGTGTGGGGAACACGCAGGACTTAGCAAGTGGAGCAGGTTCTCTGGTCCAGGGCTCAGCTCTGGCTGCAAGCAAGATTCCCGGGGGTGGACTTGGGGACTGCAGTAGGCTGGGCTCAGTATGCGCTGGACTGCAAGGCAAAACAACTGCCCAAGGTGGGAGCACTGTATGGCACAGCAGGCCACAGCTGTGTTAGAGAGCACACAGAGCACCCCAGCCATGCTGGGGATAAAGAGAGTCTTCCTCTGCTCAGGACAGCATAGTGCTGTGAAGGGGTGGGAGGGGTGAACTACCCCCAACGTATCTGCAGCAAGAACAAGTGGATCCTGTCTATACAGCTATTTAGCAGGCCTAATTAAATCCAAACAATGCAATCTCCCTTTTCTTCACATGACACACGGGGGGTGTATGGAAAAATCATGCAATTAAAAATATAAAAATTACTATAGTTCTTTTAAAGAAGAACTTTAGGTGACACTACATCACATTTGGCATATTTTGGAAAACCTTATGTGTCATATTGTAAAGTCCTAACTTTATTTTGTCCCCCTGGAAATGTCATGATCTCCTTAAAATTCAAAAGTAATAAATACCTCATGAATAGTGTTTAATACTACCTACAACCATGCAAATATAAACTAACTAAGCATGACAAACCTCCATGAATCTAGTTTGCTGCCTCAGAAGACTGGATCAAAAATGTCCCTCATCATAATTTATCTCCCCCACTGCAGAAACGCAGACCCTGTATATTTCTGACAATAACTATTTTGTTTACTTAAAAACGATTTCATTAGCAACAACAGGATGATGTTAGAAGATGCTATACCACAGCAAGATGTACCTGAAAGAATATGAAGGGACATGACCTGTATCTACTGCATCGTAAGTTGCATTTTTGCATTCAAGGATATTGACTGTTTCAGCATAGAAAATTAGTTGTTAAATCCAGCAAAAATCAATCTCGTATATTTTAAGTTCAAAAACAACTAACTGTTTTGGGAATTCTTATAGATTTAAACTAAGAAATCATCATGTAAAATATATTGCCACACTGCTAGCCACAGACGCAAGCCATAATATAGTTGGGTTACCAGATACTTATTCATAATTTGCAGTCTGATAGCTTGCTTTCCTTTTTTTGCTGTATGAGAAAGAAGCATTTAGTCTTAGAAGGTAATTTCACTTAAACTGAAGTGCAGTTTTCCAACAGAACAAAATTTAGTCATGCATACAATTCACATGAGGGCATATAGGAACTACGCTTGCTTTTAACGTAAAGTCTACAATTCCTATCTTCAGAAGACATGTCTCAAAAATTAAAACATACTAGAAAATACCAAGGGGAGTACTACATGTATTGGCTTTGAATAAGCGCTTCAAAGTTAAGGTATATGTACACACTTCATCTGAATTCAGTGGAGTATGTGATTCTAAAATTAATTTGTACGTCAAACAGGAGCAGGTTCTCATATAATATATTAGCGCTACCCATATTTTTCTCAAACTTCAAATACAACAAATGCAGCTTTTCTCTCTCTCTAGTATGTTTCAAGGCCAGGAAGAGACTAGGAGTTAAACAATGTTATTTCACATAGGACATAGTCTAATTAGTATTGGTATGTACTACTAACAACAACGCAGTCCAAACATGCAATGCGATTTTGACATATTATGAAAAGTATTTACCTGATGGAATAAAAAGAAAGCGGTAATGTGCATACGCATATACCTATATATAATTTTTTATTTTTAATTATGGGGATAGAGAAGTTTAGCCTATGTATACACCTTCACAGTCATCGGTTTCAGAGAGCAATCCCTGGTCTCCAAGCCAAGATGTACAGAACACTTTGCATCCACCTAAAGCAAATTGGCTGTCTCCACATGCAAAGCATTTGGCCTGGATCTTCTCTAAGCTCCACAGGGGACCTCCAGGACCATAAGAAATCCATTTTTTGTATTTTTTAGTCCCGAGTACTCAAAATAATAACTGAAGATATGTAACAGTCCACCACAGAGGGTTGCTTTTATAGCATGACCTTGAGAGTGTGTTTCATCCTGTAGTGAAGGGGTAAGGATACGCAAGCATCCAAGGGTGAAAGCACTGCCTTCTATAGACTTCTGCTAAAGCTTAGTCTACTAATTTTTCCACCTTAGACACAGCTAGTTGGTTAATTCTGGAAAGGGAAACCAGAACTGAAGAACTAATACAGACCAATGCAGAGCATCATCAGACTTGTGTGTCAACCGAGGGGAGATGAAAGAAGAGGCTGTGGCTGTACTACAGGGGATGGAACTGAAAGCTTTTTACAAGCCTACAGCTATACTCTGTGAATTCTTTCCATTTCCCCCTTGTTTAAGAATAACTGTATTTCTTTATCTATAGTGATCACATTCTGTATTTTCTACAATGTGCTTCCGCTATGAAGACAAGCAGTATGAAATTAAGGTGAAAATTTTGACATGTAGCATCAGTGACTTTCACTAACATTTCTTCTATGTGCAATTTGGAAAATTTGTGTGAGAACTATCTCCTGATGGAACTCTCTTTCTCATGACAAAGGCATAAAGTGTCTGAAAAACGCTATGCTTATCAGGTATTACAACATTTTCCATATTGGCTGAAATATCATATGATAGCAGAGTCGCCACTTACTGCGGTCAGTAATTATTGTTCTGGCCTCTTGATTGCTCGTCTTGTTTTTTAGATTTTGTGCTGCAGTTATTAGTTCATCCAGTTGGGGACGTCTTTGCTCCAGATCCTGTAGTATTGCCTAGTTGCACACAAATACAAAAATAAAACAAAGAAAAAAAGCATGTAGAGATGAAGACCATGTATAGGGACTTTTTTTTTGGTGCCAGCTTGATTTAAAGCAGAAGGTTTGTTTGCTGTTTCAAATAACATGAAGAATCGGGTCTAGACCTCCCAAATATAGTTGTTAGTCTTAACATAAAAATACCAAGTATAACTTGTACTAATAATTTAATAAGAACCTATAAAACTAGATATAAAATGACAATCGTTCTTCGTTTTTTAACCCATCAAATTATGCAAGGGTAAGCTATTTTCCTCTATAAAGCTGTAGAGGGACACTATTCTTCTATATTGTTAGATTTCACAATGTACTTAGGATACAGGGGTTTACATTCTTACCAGATTAGGCAGGATTTTCCTAGCAATTTATGAAATCTAATTAATAATTTTTGTTTCTTAATATTTTAAGACTGTTTAATTACTATCTACCAGTTTAAAGCAAATATAAGACTGCTAATATTGCTTTTTCTGTCCTGACACCTTATCTAGCAGAAAAGTAATTAACACTCACGATAATTTATATATTAGTCAAGTAGATACATAAAGCCCAGGCAGTCTGATTAGAAAGAAAGAGGTGGATCTAGAGTTTCTCACAGGGAAAAATATGGGCTTCTAAGTAATGACTTGCGGTCTTTAGGAGGTAATAAAAACTAAAATACAATAGTTTTAGATACAATGAAAATGAGAACTCAAGGAAAGTAACACATATAAGATTAATGCATATATTAATTTAAATTATTTTGAGGGATTAGAGAAGAACAAACAAGGAATCAGTTCAATGGTTTCCCAGATAAGAAGCATCCAAGCATGTATTTAAGAGACATTGACCAAATCTAGCAATTCAAGTCCCTACCACGTAGCTTCCAGGAAAGATGCTCATTAAATTTCCCGGTTCTAGGAGTTAGAAGTAGCAATATTTATCACGACATTCTGAACAAATTACTTTTTTCTGCCTACAATCTTGAGTCACCAGAACAAAACAGTATGCTGTCAGATAGATAGCAGGTATAGTATATCAGCTATCAAGCTGACAACAAAGGTCAGTGGAGGATTTTTATTTTTCAAGCTTTTTATGTGGACGGAGGTTAGATAATCTGTTAGCATGCTCGCCTGGCTGTTGACTATGTGTTTTGAGTATTTTATTGTCTTAAAAGTCTCCCCAATCCCACCCCTCTTTAAAATGTTTTTATTCTAAATAATCATACGTTATTTTAGCAAGCTGTTATTCACTGGCGGTACTGGATGGAAAAGTCCTGCAGAGTCTGATCTTACATTTGGCCTTCCAACCTGAGATTAGATTTACATGATTTCACCAAGTTGAAGGTGACAGGTAAAGGCCTAATATTTTCTGTTCAATGAGATTAACAAAAGAGTATGAGAATATCACTTCCAGTAACTACAGCATGTATCATCAAAAGCAAGCTAAAAGCTCCACTGAGTTTCATTTTTGTTTAGTTACAAACTCTTCAAAAGAAAAGGTAATTTTCAAGATATACATCTAGCTACACACTGTGAAATTCTTGCCTTTAACTTCTGTATCAGGAGTTCTTTGAAAATCTATTATAACTGGCTTTCTAAACTCATACCCAAAAGTTTGGATGGTATTTTTTCACTTGTATACTGACTGGATTGCATACGGAAACACGCAGTTGGAGCAGCAGCTTGCATAATTAAGCAAAGAACAAATATCTCATTAGAAGTCTTTCCTTAGTGAAAGCAGTCAAGAAAAGGAAATAAAATCTACTGATGCAGTTAGTACCTCTAGATATCTATGTGCCTTCAAAACTCCATTTTCTAGGAAGACAAGTTAATGAGTGACATGAATTTTACAATAGAAAAATGCAGTCTCATTGCAGCCTAACAACATCTGCATTATACATATTGCCAAAATGGACTGTGCAGAAGGAACATTAAAATGCATACAACATGCTCAGGTAATTGTGTGGCCTCCAAAGTAACATTCCCATTCTCTCTCCTTCCCCTACCTAGAAACTCTTTAGAAGAGGAAAAGCAAATTAATTCTGAGGTCTTGTGCCAACAGTGACTCTAAACTGTTCCTTAAAGTTTCCTAAACATAATCTTTATATTTGATACATTGAATAGGAGAATGATTTGTCTGATCCAGCCTGTCTCCAACCAGACCTTAAATGCTATGTTTATACCATAGAAGAGAGCTTCTGCTCCACGAAATCTAGCAAGAAACAAAGTAATAGTTAAGCACTGCTCGGTGGTTTGCTAAGTACCAAAATGAGCAAATGGAACTGATGTATGCCTAAGTGCTCACAGAACGATTTACCCACAAGACCCACCTGCAATTCCTGAACTGGACACTGAGGAAAACTAGTAACGTCTCTTTAAAGTGATTCTTGCTAGCTCTGCTGTTCCCTCGGGGACACAACAATCTCGTCCCTAAATGGACTGTGAGGACATCCTTCCCTCTGTCATTTAATGTGAATAAAATTACTTTCTGCTGGATGTACTAATGTATTTTTGAAAGGTCAGGAAGGACATCTTGAAATCCTTGTACTATCAACAGATCTGAGGATTCTGGGACCTGTCAGGAGCCAATAATATATAATTTTAGAACAGATGGGGGTTTTTCTCAGTCTTAGAAAGGTAACCACTCAAAATAAGGAAAAAACAACGTTCCTCAAATGAATGTATTTTTTCTCTGATTTAATTCAAAGTGTCTGAGAACCTTAACCAAGCAATGATCTATTTTATTCAGTAAAATTTTATCAATTAAAATAGTTGTAAAATTGTTACAATATTTATTGGTACAATTTTACCAATTTATAAATGTACATTCCACACTGCATGTACATATATAAACTCTGATGGAAATCTGGATAAAAGTAGCTACTAAAACATGTCATTCCTGAGCCTTCCTGTGATACTGTAGCATGAAAGTAAACAGCAACACTTAGGTCCACTTTAAGTATTATCAAATTAAGAAAAATATTCTGTGACTGGACAAAATAATCATACAAATTGATTTTGCGGGTAACAAAAATACAAATAATTATGCTAGGAAGAGAAGTGCTTTGGTGAATACAAATTAAAAGAGCAGTAAATACAACTTTGGGAGAAAAAAATCTATAGCTTTAAAGTATTAGCTGAAATTATCTAAAATAAACAAACAAACAAAACCCAAACCCAAACCCTAAATCAGAGGCAATTCGTATATGGAGATACTTTTTAAAACTTTTACAAATTTGGTCAAATATTTAACATTGTAACACTGTATCCTCAACAGAAAACGAAGTGGAAACTACTAGATGTTGTTACAACAGCCATGGGAAGAAAAAGTCGTTAATAGTGGCACCTGGTGGAGGCACAGCAGATGCAACAGACCAGATGCCTCTGAATTGGAATGTCAGCACACTGAAACAAATGGGCTATGTGAAAATGGCTAATACAGAAATACAAGTTATTATGGAAGGATTTTCAAAATAAATATAACAGAAATCTATCTAGTCCCCATCAGGCTACCAAAAGCACAGGTAAAAAGACTTAGGGGGTCAGCTATACTAAAAGTATTTTTTCTTTTTTTTTTCTTTCTTTTTTTTTTTTTTTTGGTAATAAACATTTGTGTACTTGTGCGTATCATTTCCCTTTACTCTCATTTTACCTAGTGCTCTGTAAAGGTATAATAATGTATTCTGCAAAACATTATAGACCACATTTTAATTGAGAAACTTGTGCTTAATAATAAATGTAATTCAACATGAGTAGGTCAACAATGAAGAAGGACCATTGACATCCATGTTTGTACAAATACATCTTTAAACCCCCCAAGATCTTTTCTTTTTCTTCCATATATCTAGAGCGTCAACAGAATAATGCTTGGTGACAACGCAGTAATGGGAAAATGAGATTCAGTCATCAAAACTGCCTTCAGTTTGTTAGAAAGTGATGCTATTCACTTTTAACAATCTTTCCACATTTGTGGACAGCAGCTGCTCAAAAGAAAAATCCAGTTTTCAGGTTCCTAACTTTTGTGATTTCTTTACACAAAATTGCTGTTGAGACATGGAACAAATTGTTTAAGCCAGCAACTGAAATAACTTGTATAAAAACTGCTAAAAAATAAACTGAAAAACTGAAACAGGTGTAGTGTGACAAATTCTTGGTGAGACTGCAAGGTTTGAAACCAAGAATTAAAATATTCTCTAGCTTTATAACATACAGCGTGCTACAGCCTGCATATTTGTCACTCTAGCCATGCATGTAGTAATTTATATAAAAGTTAGGATCTTTAAAATCGATCCAGTCTGTTTTTCCTTTTTTTCCTGACTTTATGGCAAGCATTATTAAACTGGACTATCTGAATCCCAGGATGCTTCCAAGTCTTAAACACACAACTAATCATTTAGCAGTGCTGATTATGGATGTTTGCTCTTTAATATCAGAAGCGACTTTTCTCACACCAAAGCCAGGCCTTTCCATCTCCCATGGCTGAACTTCAAACATACAAATGAGAGTTAAGGTTGCTTTTCTGCAACATTACATATGATTGTGCCTCAGTCTGTATGCTTTTTTAAAAAGGCTCTGGATCTACTTCGTAACTGTTTTAAATTCTTAAGTTGAAAAATTTCTCTGAAACTCAGGAAGTTAAAATGCCACAAAAAAATTAAAGATTATTGCGTAAAGTATGTGTCACAATTCTTTTTTAGTGTTTACTGAGGAGTCTTCTGTAGTGGTAACTACTAGCATGTCTTCACAATTTTTCTGTGTATTTACATGCTACTAGCTGAATATAGCTGGCTGTCTATTTTATACTTTTTATTTTACTAGGTAAGAATGTTAACAGCGAGTGATCCAAAAAATGATGTTTGGTCAAAAAGGAGATTTAGAGGAGACCTTCCATATTAAGAGTGAACTGGAAGCATCATTTTGTCATAAACTACTCATGGCTGAAGATTAAAACTTCCCAACTGTCTGTGACGGGTTTTTTTG